TGTAGTCTGGTAGAAACTTACCGAAGTTTCACCCATCGCCCTGATGATGGAGGCATAAAACACCTCTGAAACCCCAGTCAATTTCTACCAGACTACACGGCGTTACACCCCAGAAGACAGTCCAGTCATCTTAATATATGCCAGCGTTATAATATGAAATAACTTTTGTACGCTTTTTATAATCAAAAGTTATCATTTCCAAACTAAATTTCCAGAGATAATAACGGAAATGCATTTCCTTCATTGATTTCTTGTGTGAGATGCCGTGATGTCCACGTTAAATGAGACAACTGTATTCGGAAATTCTTTGCAGAGTGACGTACGCCCATCACAACATGCGAACAGCTGATTTCGTAACGATAAGATGTTTTGATTCACTTTTGCAGGAGCGCGGGTTATCATAGCCTGCAGAGACACCACGAAGGGCGAGGAAGCAGCCAAGGATATCCGTAAACTGACGGAGAACGTGGAGGGGGCAGGTACAGTGGATGTCGTGTGCCTGAACCTGGGATCCCTCGCCTCCGTGCGGAAGTGTGCACAGGACCTCCTTAGGACAGAGGACAAGATCCATCTTCTAGTCAACAACGCAGGTACCGCGCTCCGTCTGACCTTGAAAGGGCCACAACGAGTTTATAACAATTTTATTGTCTGATTCATGAGCTACTGATAACCGAGAACTTGGAATGATATTTTTAGATAAGTTTTGTTGTTTTTCAGGGGTCATGGCGTGTCCCCAAGGCAAGACAGAAGACGGGTTCGAGACCCAGTTTGGGGTCAACCACTTGGGTCACTTTCTTTTCACCTGTTTGCTTCTGAATCGTATCATCCGGTCAGCCCCCGCCAGGATCGTCAATGTATCGTCCTATGGACATGTATGTAAGTATAGTACTTTTTTTTGTTTGGGGCTGTATTTTTTGATTTAACTTCGTGTTAACGTCTCTTTGTAATTCATGATAGCCAATATCATTTATTTTTTTTTTTTAGAATTTCCAACTTGGTATTTATTTATGAAATATTATGACTGGAACCTGGTTTGATGGTTGTTACAGGGGGAACTATGAATTTCGACGATCTAAACTCCGAAACGTCGTATTCGCCCTCGAAGGCTTACGCTCAGAGCAAATTGGCCAACGTGTTGTTCACCAAGGAGCTGGCAAGAAGACTTCAAGGTATGAGTCCTGTCTTTTAAGCCTGTTGAAGTGGCGAGCTCAATTGCTTATTACAGCGAGTCTTCTGATTGAAAAAGGAACATGAAATAAGATCTTCAGTTTATCCCTTTTTAGGGTTCCGAAGAACTATATTTTACCTGTTCTAATAATAGTACAAGTATATAGCTAAATAAATAACAAATTTTACGTGTTGCTTTGGAATTATTCATAATTTCTTTTTATACAATTACAACAGACATGTCACGTGGTTGTTTACAGCTTTGCTAAAAATTACAAAATAGAAATTTGTATCATGTATAAACGTTTATTAACCTCTAAAATTTCCGGTCTCCTAATTTTTATTCTTTCTAGGTGGTATATATGATTTAAGTGCGGTAATTGTATATACCACTTCTATTAAAAGTAATTTTTTTTCTCAATATAATTTATTAATTTTATTTACTTTTCAGCTGTTTAACGTTTTACTTAGTAGAAAATTTTTAAAGAGTATTTTTTTTAAATATAAATCGAATTTTAATTTCTGCAGATTAATTTCATTCTATATAATGTTCATATCAGACTAACTTTACCATTTCATAATTTCGCGTGGTCACCATGTTCTTGTTCTTGATGTTACAGAATAAAAGTACCATGATGTGGTACCATATCGATATGTCACATTATCAGATTCGACCAACTAGGCACATGATTACATTTTTAATGAGAACAGAATGGAAATTTGACAGGGCGTCGGTAAATGTTGCAGGGACGGGTGTGACCACTTACTCCCTGCATCCCGGAGCCGTCAAGACGGAATTACAACGTCACCTTGACGATTCGTTCTTCAAGGGCGCACAGCTGATAATGGCTGGGCTCGGAAAATTGTTCTTTAAGACTCCCGAGGAGGGAGCCCAGACCTCGATATACTGCTCCGTGGATGAGAACTTAGCCGACAAAACGGGGCTCTATTACAGGTAAGAATTGAAAAAAAAACCCTCAATTACTACGAGTTTTAGTGGATCAGTGATAGTGATTAGACTGATTTGGTTTATTATTTTAAATTAAAAAAATTAAATTTGTATATATTTAAGCGTCAGACTGAAATTGTATTTTACGCAAGTTTAATTGTTTGTATATATTAAATCTTGTCCGTCTAATCACAATAATTCTGATTAAATATTAGAATATTACAATAATTAACATTTAAATTATTTAAAATATTAAATGATGTTCTTCATCGAAATATATGGTCTAATGTAAATCGAATATTTCGATAAAGAACATCATTTAATATTTTAAATATTTTAAATGTTAATTATTGTAATATTTTAATATTTAATAAGAATTATTGTGATTAGACGGACAAGATTTAATATATATATATTTTGCTTCTGTAAGTCCCAAATTTTTTGGATGTCTATTTCCAATTAATTGTTTGCTTAAACCTTATATTTAATCGGCATCAATTCGTAATTGAATAACATGCTAATTAAATACGATGTGTGTGTTTTTCATGTTATTTGGCATGGCTACCTTCAGCTGTTTTGACTTCAGAATTAAATGCAAATGGCCGCTTGTTTGTACTGATTAAAGGTGCCTACGCGCATCTGACTGCGCAGCAGTGTTGGAGTGGAGTAATTCAGAATTTCATTTCTGAACGTCTTTACGTTCAACATTTAAAGTTAATAAAATCTGTCTTCATGTAATGAATCTTATGTAAGCGTTACGTAACTGATGTTTAAGGAAATTACATTTGTTTTCTTTTGTGTTGTATAACCCTCCTGTAATTGAAGAGATTCTTTTATTTGGAGGCAAATGAATAACACAGTTTTAAGGTAGCGTGAGTGCCTTCTTACGTGTTCTTTACAGGAAGTGCATAGGGAAAACTCATTATGGGTTTACGTCTCTGTCTGTCCGTCTAGTCGATGCAACTCATGGAATCGAATACACCTGTTTATATAACGTGGATTCTTATAATGTGGGAGTTTGCTGGAACGCAATTATGTCTTTATAACAGATTGACTTTACGAAATTATTTTATTGTTTGTGAAAGCTGACATCCTGGGTCGGCCCCACAGCCGGTCTGGACACAAAAAATTGAATAATAAATCTGTTTCTGTAGGGTATCGAACTCCAGTCACGAAATTCATAATTAGGAACATTACTACCTGCGCTACCAACGTCAATCTTTTAAACTAATACAATTTAAAAGTATAACAAAACACTGACGTATAAAAAAATATATTTAAAATTTTAATCAGATATTTTATTATGTATATTTATAAAAAAAATTCGAATAAATTATAGCCATTAAATCATATTTTAACTATGCAACTTCCATTTTGATTTATATTCTGTGTTTTAAAAGTTTTGCAGTCTAATTTGATACAGTTTCGATATATCGTAATTTTGTTACTATCTGCGCAGTGATTGCAAGGAAAAGGCACCATCTGCAAAGGCCTGCGACCCTGAGTCGGCACTAAAACTTTGGGAGGTAAGTTTGAAGATGGTGGGACTTGAAGACTGGGACCCCGTCACTGCAGATGACCACATGCTGCCCAGTTAGACGGCCAGAATGTGTGAGGCTGTCATCAAAAGGATTTTCTCCAGTATTGTGTGTGTAGGAATTAGTCTGTCTTCAAACCAGACCACAATAAATGTCTTTACCTGTTCATATGCTACGAATATATGTAACGTGTAACTTGTGTTTCTGGCTGCAACTCATTTCAGCAGACATTTAATGTTTCTCTTCGTTGTATTGCGAGTGACAAATTAAATTAAAATAAATAATTTCACTTCATTTGGAAAGTATCCTTTGTTATTGATGTGCAGTGAGCTAGTACGTAAATTCTCCACAGGTGTCCTCAAGCCTAAAGCCTTTCATCGCGAGATGTCACCAATTCTAGATCAATGACGTCACAGTTGATTAAATGTTTTCTGATCTAATCAGAGGTAAATTTTATTTATTTATTTATTATTTAGTGTTCTGTCTGAGGACAGGTCCATATGAACAGGATCCTTCCATCCTTTTCTCGGACTGGGACCTGTTCATATACGTTCTTGGCAGATGATCCAGAAGTGGTTTGCCATTGCCTTCTTCTGTGTGTGAATGGAGTAATTGTTGGGATGCCACGGAGGAAAACTCCGTGTTGCCTAGACCACGGCCTTGCCCAACACAAGTTATAAATTCGAACCCGAGACCCCCAGGATTACAAGGTCAGCGTTCTAACCGCTGGACCACCTCATCTTATTATTATTTAGTGTTCTGTCTGACGACAGGTCCATATGAACAGGACCCTTCCATCCTCAGAGGTAAATAACAAAATAAATTAGAAATATATACAGGGTGATTCAAAACAGGAGAAGAACACTAAAGGAGGTTTCTGAGGAGATAATTTGGTTTAGAAGATGTAAATAAATTGATTCGCCACTGTTTACGGTTGATTACATTTTAATGTAGCTTTGTAGGCTTAATGTTATGGTATTTTTACGCTGGTTCAGTGCTTGTATTTCGTGAAAATGGTAGACATAGCTAAAATTAAGTGCGGTGACAAATCCCCACCACACTAACAGAAAAGTTTTTTTTTCAAAAAATAGGTAAATTGAATTAACGATTGCAGAATATTACAAAGGGCAGAATTGGCTTTCTTTCTTTCTCTCATTGAAAAATAAAAAAAAACTTGTTTACTTGTTATGTTAAGACGATTTTTGTCCATTTTCTAAAAAACTATCGAATCTTAAAAAGAAAACTTTATACATCTTCTACTCCAAATGTTCTCTCCAACCTTTATAGGAACCGTGCTACGGTTTTAAAATTACTCTGTTTTAAAACTTAACCTAATGATCGTCGCTTTGCACTGATTATTAATACAATCGCTCCTTAACCGGAAAGATTTGACTTCGAGTCTCGGCCCATATATTTATATATTTAAGATATATCATGGCCACCGAGATCTCCTGACATAATCGTGCCCGATATTTTTTTATAAATATCATATGTCTGAATAACATCCCCATACAACCGAATATCTTAAAAAATCAAATTACGAAATTACTAATTAATTATCATAGTGTGTCACAAAACTTCAGGGAACTGTTGAAATAATATGTAAATTGTAGGGGGTACGAAGTCTGTATCCAATAAATAATGCATGGGAATTAACCACAATAAGAAAATATATTTTTAAAAATGAATATTCCAAATTTTCCTTACGCTTGTCTCAGCTGGGCATAGAACCCGTCCAGTTCCACTGGCACACTCTGTGTATACCGACAGAGTAAAATTCTGGTCCTGTCTTCCTTTGCTGAAGGGGGATCCCCAAATAGACATTCGCCAAAATTTGATATTTAATTCAGTATTGTTATTGATGCCTGGGGGACAGTGACATTGCATGATCACTCGGTTGCGTGCCTACGCGGGGATTCCCAAGCCTAACAGGTCCTGACGCACAAACGAGATCTTATGTAACGTAACTTACTGACGTCAGATTTTAATAAAAAAATTGAATTTTTAACAGATGTGTGCAAAACCTTTGAATCCGATGCTCGTCTAGATAATACTTAAGATTTGAGTCGTATTACTTATTTAGTGTTCTGTCTGACGACAGGTCCATATGAACAGGATCCTTCCATCCTTTTCTCGGACTGGGACCTGTTCATATACGTTCTTGGCAGATGATCCAGAAGTGGTTTACCATTGCCTTCTTCTGAGTGTGAATGGAGTAATTGTTGGGATGCCAATGAGGAAAACTCCGTGTTGCCTAGGCCACGGCCTTGCCCAACACAAGTTATAAATTCGGGCACCACCGGGAATCGAACCCGAGACCCCAGGATTACAAGGCCAGCGTTCTAACCGCTAGACCACCGTGGCAATTTCGCCACAGTACATGATTTATAATCATTTTCGTCATTTGAAAATATATAATCTACGTAATACATACAGTGTCGTTAAATGAACAAAGATATACAGACGGCCTTGGAGTGACTGAATTTAGATGCAGGACTTAAAAACGCTCTTATAACCAGCCATCGGTCTGCTGTTCTATCCCCGGGCTGAGATTTTAACATCTCCCTTCATCCATTACCAATGCAAGTGAAGAATCTAAGACTTTAATTTCTTTCGTCTGAAAATTTTAAATCACATACAAGAATAATTGTGCATAATTTGAGATTCTCACGGCAGTGAAGATTACAATGTTCTTATGGGTTATGCTCGTATCACAGTGAGAAACCCATTAATTGTCTATGTGGATGGGACACTAGGCTTTGAAGGGTTCATTTGAGTCTTCCCCTGACGTGGCATTCATCAGGACACAAGTGGTTCTTTGGAAATAATGAATAAAACAAAAGAAATTTATAGTAACTAAATAATGGATCAATAGTGTACTCGAACCAATGATAATGCTCTATAACGGGCCTGCTTCAATTATTTATGGTTCAATAAGACTTCGTTCACGTGACCCCCGCAAACCTGTTCGATTATTTGGAAGCTACGTTGTTAATCTCGAGGCATTTCTACAAGCCTCACGATGGTTTGCTGTTCAAAGTACGATGGAAAAACACGATTGGATGGAAAGACAGCTATTGTCACCGGTTCAAATACGGGTATTGGCAAATACACTGTTTTGGATTTCGTAAAGAGAGGTGAGTTCGTATATAAATATCCTTTCTGTTCAAATATCTGTAACTTTATGAAATATACGTAAGCGAATTAGTAAATGTTCCTATGAAGATGTCAAGTTTCGTATCGTTGATGCTAACATAATCGTGGATTACAAAGTGACAATCGTCTTCACCGAGTTAGTACTCGAGAAAAATGCAAAAATAAAAAGAATGTGTCGAAACCTTGACCAAAAATACTGGAAAGATTTAATACATCAGCGACAGGGAATCTCTGAGGTTATAAAAAATAAATTTAAAGTACCTCCCCCCCCAAAAAAAAGTTTAATAAAATAAAAATAATCTGTAACATATTTATAGGTTTAACTAATAAAGTATTATGATTCTATCGTATGGTAAAACAGTGCTGTGTGTCCATTCCATGATTGTGGTATTAAATACGGATTTGTAAATTTGAATTAAAAGTCATTTATTTAGGTAAAAATGCAAAATATTGGCTTTACAAATAATTTTAACGTGTTGTGAGGAAATCTAATCTAATATCCTGGAATCCTACTACGTGAACTGAATATTTTATAATACACAGATATGAAATACAGGCCTCTTATTTGAACGTGTGTTAGTCAATAATCAGTTTATGATAAACAAATTAATCGGTAGAACCTGAAAGATTAAAATTACTTTGTTAAAGTATAGCCAAATCCAACGTTCGACTTTTCTTATAAGTTATAACACGAAATATGACTACATGAATTAAACTGTTTGATTTTGAATGCCTGTATTTTAGAGAAATATTCTACTGAATATACGTAAAATATATAAATGGTTAAGCATAATCGTTTCAGGATATATACCCTGTTTACCAAGCATTCAGTAGCCGGGGCCAAACTAAGTGTTTCGCTTACGTCACTAACTTGGTGGCACCAGAAAGACACAGATCCTGCCAAACTGCGAACAGGACACATTTATTTTTATTCTTGTATTAAAATGATTTGATTTATCATCTCGTTCAGATTGTTCCCCTCCTACAAAGAAAACTTGATGTATTTTTTCTTTAAAACATGTGATCAAAATCTTTATCAGAATACTAAACTTCATATCCTAATATTACAAATTACCATTCGATATATTACGACACCACCGAGATGTTCTAGTATCGACCACTTACTATCGATTACAACAACGTACCGTCACATCGACTGCACTCATTGCAACGCATCGTTCAAACAACGATCAAAATCGAAGCCATTAAAATACTCGCGACAGAATAACAAATTCCATGGCATCGTGGCTGATGCTTGAAAGCGGACAAAACGATTTTTAAATGTGAAAATACCGCTTGTAGAAACAAGAGACGTCTTCACATTTTTATTT